ACATTGTATGTGAATTCACGTGGAATTAAACATAAATTAACTAATGAGAATTTCGCTTCGTCATGACATAGGTCACATCTCCCAAAAGAGAATGGAAAATCTTGTGTTAAAAGGAATTCTTAATTCTCTTAATTTTTCAGACTCAAGTATTTATGTTAATTACATTAAGGGAAAACAAACAAACATAAGGAGATAGAACTTCGGGTGTCTTAGACCTAATACATATGGATATCTGTAGGTCATTTCCTTTGGCTTCTTAGAATAAGCAACAGTAATTTATTATTTTCATAGACGAGTTTTTCTAACTATGACTATCTATATCTCATCTATGAGAAATCTCAAATATTGGACGTGTTCAAGGCATACGAGACTAATGTTGAAAATCAATTCAGTAAAAGTATTAAACAAGTCAGATCTTACCATAGTGGTGAATAGTATGATAGATATGACGAATCAGGAGAACAACATCCAAGACCTTTTACTAAATTTCTAGAGGAATGTGGAATTGTCACACACTGCACCAGATCTCTCTAGGTTGAAGCATTAAAGGCTACAGCTTAAATTCTCAATAAAGTTCTAAGTAGAGCAAATGTTAAGGGGTTACAAATTTTAAAGATCCAACTATAAGGTCAATTTTCAAAATGGGAAATGGTCGATTCTTTAAGAATGTAGAGTTTGTGAGGGGAGATAAGATTTTAGGGTTAAAGATTTTATCTTTGAAGAATATATATATATATATATGCAATTAACACTAATCAGAACCAGGGACAAATTTTTGCTCTAGATCTTGTTCAAGAAGCAATTTTGGATCAAGACGATATTACAAAATCCTTCATATACAATCAAATGATTATTTTAGAAGAACAAACTCAAAACCTCAAGAACAAATACCATTAAGAAAAGACAAAGACAATTTGGATAATTTTTACAGTATTTCTCCAAGAAAATAAGGATAGTGTTGTACTGGTGGAATAAAATCTGATTAATTAAGTTTCATCATGCAATGCAAAAGAATAATTTTTAAGAGTTGATTGATGCCATGAATAAAGAGAAAGTCTATCAAAGATAATGGCATTCAGGAACTCATCTTATTGTCTGAAGGTGCGAAACCTCTTAGCTGTAAATAGATATTTAAAATCAAGAAGGATTCAAAGGATGATGTGGAGAGATACTAAGCTCGTCTTATTGTAAATGGTTTTACTTAAAAGGAAGCCATTAACTCTAAAGAGAATTATCTTCAATTTCTACG